TAATTCATTCATTGTTTGCCATGAGTGTGTGTGCACTAGATTGTAATTCATTCATTGTTTGCCATGAGTGTGTGTGCACTAGATTGTAATTCATTCATTGTTTGCCATAAGTGTGTGTGCACTAGATTGTAATTCATTCATTGTTTGCCATGAGTGTGTGTGCAATAGATCGTAATTCATTAGTTATTTGCCAAGAACTTCTGAGCACTAGATTGTAATTTGTTCATTGTTTGCCATGAGTGTGTGTGCACTAGAACATAATTCATTCATTGTTTGCCATGAGTGTGTGTGTACTAGATTGTAATTCATTCATTGTTTGCCATGAGTGTGTGTGTACTAGATTGTAATTCATTCATTGTTTGCCATGAGTGTGTGCACTAGATCGTAATTCATTTCTTGTTTGCCATGAGTGTGTGTGCACTAGATCATAATTCATTAATTGTTTGCCAAGAACTTCTGAGCACTAGATTGTAATTTGTTCATTGTTTGCCAAGAACTTCTGAGCACTAGATTGTAATTTGTTCATTGTTTGCCAAGAACTTCTGAGCACTAGATTGTAATTTGTTCATTGTTTGCCAAGAACTTCTGAGCACTAGATTGTAATTTGTTCATTGTTTGCCAAGAACTTCTGAGCACTAGATTGTAATTTGTTCATTGTTTGCCAAGAACTTCTGAGCACTAGATTGTAATTTGTTCATTGTTTGCCAAGAACTTCTGAGCACTAGATTGTAATTTGTTCATTGTTTGCCAAGAACTTCTGAGCACTAGATTGTAATTTGTTCATTGTTTGCAAAGAACTTCTGAGCACTAGATTGTAATTTGTTCATTGTTTGCCAAGAACTTCTGAGCACAAGATTGTAATTTGTTCATTGTTTGCCATGAGCTTATGTGCAGTTGATTGTAATTCGTTAATTGTTTGCCAAGAACCTCTGAGCACTAGATTGTAATTTGTTCATTGTTTGCCAAGAACTTCTGAGAACTAGATTGTAATTTGTTCATTGTTTGCCAAGAACTTATGAGAACTAGATTGTAATTTGTTCATTGTTTGCAAAGAACTTCTGAGCACTAGATTGTAATTAGTTCATTGTTTGCCAAGAACTTCTGACCACTAGATTGTAATTTGTTCATTGTTTGCCAAGAATTTCTGAGCACTAGATTGTAATTTGTTCATTGTTTGCTTTATGGTTTGCCATGAGCTTGTGTGCACTTAATCATTTTTTTTCTTATTGTTTGTCGAGTGGATGTATATTCCAGTTAATATTTTGTTTGTTATTTGTAAAGTGAGCCTATGCACTAGACTTATTTTCATTATTGTTTGCTGTATGCTTGTATGTACCAAATTGTTTTCGTTCACTATTTGTCTGGGGATTGTATTCTGGTGTTACATTTTACAATGCTGGTTTTACTTTGGTAACACCGACACATACTTTGGTACATTGTTGGACAGTTCAGTGTGTTGTCAATCAGCTAGGGTAACACTGACACACACTTTGGTATATTGTAGGACAGTTCAGTGTGTTGTCTAAGCTATAGTTACACTGACACACACTTTGGTACATTGCTCGACAGTTCAGTGTGTTGTCTATAAGCTATAGTTACACTGACACACACTTTGGTATATTGTAGGACAGTTCAGTGTGTTGTCTAAGCTATGGTTACAGTGTTACACACTTTGGTACTTTGTTAGACAGTTCAGTGTGTTGTCTATAAGCTATAGTTACATTGACACACACTTTGGTATATTGTAGGACAGTTCAGTGTGTTGTCTAATTAGCTATGGTTACAGTGTTACACACTTTGGTACATTGTTGGACAGTTCAGTGTGTTGTCTAAGCTATGGTTACAGTGTTACACACTTTGGTGCTTTGTTAGACAGTTCAGTGTGTTGACTATAAGCTATAGTTACATTGACACACGCTTTGGTATATTGTAGGACAGATCAGTGTGTTGTCTAAGCTATTTTGACACTGACACACACTTTGGTACATTGTTGGACAGTTCAGAGTGTTGTCTAAGCTATGGTAACACTGACACACACTTTGGTACATTGTAGGACAGTTCAGTATGTTGTCTAAGCTATAGTTACAGGGAAACACTTTGGTACACTGTTGGACAGTTCAGTGTGTTGTCTAAGCTATTGTAACACTGACACACACTTTAGTACATTGTAGGACAGTTCAGTGTGTTGTCTAAGCTATAGTTACACTGACCTATTGTAACACTGACACACACTTTGGCACCTTATTGGACAGCTCAGTGTGTTGTCTATAAGCTATAGTTACACTGACACACTTTGGTACATTGTAGGACAGTTCAGTGTGTTGTCTAAGCTATTGTTACACTGACACACATTTTGGTACATTGTAGGACAGTTCAGGGTGTTGTCTAAGCTATAGTTACACTGACACACACTTTGGTACATTGTAGGACAGTTCAGTGTGTTGTCTAAGCCATTGTTACACTGACACACATTTTGGTACATTGTAGGACAGTTCAGGGTGTTATCTAAGCTATAGTTACACTGACACACACTTTGATAAATTGGTGGACAGTTCAGTGTGTTGTCTAAGCTATGGTAACACTGACACACACTTTTTACATTGTTGTACAGTTCAGTGTGTTGTCTAAGCTATAGTTACACTGACACACACTTTGGTACATTGTTGGACAGTTCAGTGTGTTGTCTATAAGCTATAGTTACACTGACACTCACTTTGGTACATTGTTGGACAGTTCAGTGTGTTGTTCAAGCTAAAGTTACACTGACACACACTTTGGTACATTGTTGGACAGTTCAGTGTGTTGTCTATAAGCTATAGTTACACTGACACTCACTTTGGTACATTGTTGGACAGTTCAGTGTGTTGTTCAAGCTATAGTTACACTGACACACACTTTGGTACATTGTTGGACAGTTCAGTGTGTTGTTCAAGCTATAGTTACACTGACACACACTTTGGTACATTGTTGGACAGCTCAGTGTGTCGTCTATAAGCTATAGTTACACTGACACACACTTTGGTACATTGTTGGACAGTTCAGTGTGTTGTCTAAGCTATAGTTACACTGACACTCACTTTGGTACTTTGTTAGACAGTTCAGTGTGTTGTCTAAGCTATGGTAACACTGACACACACGTTTGTACATTGTTGTACAGTTCAGTGTGTTGTCTAAGCTATAGTTACACTGACACTCACTTTGGTACTTTGTTAGACAGTTCAGTGTTTTGTCTAAGCTATGTAACACTGACACACACGTTTGTACATTGTTGTTCAGTTCAGTGTGTTGTCTAAGCTATAGTTACACTCACACACACTTTGGTACATTGTTGGACAGTGCAGTGTGTTGTCTATAAGCTATGGTTACACTGACACACACTTTGGTACATTGTTGGACAGATCAGTGTGTTGTCTAAGCTATAGTTACACCGACACCCCCTTTGGTACATTGTTGGACAGTTCAGTGTGTTGTCTAAGCTATAGTTATACCGACACACACTTTGGTATATTGTAGGACAGTTCAGTGTGTTGTCTATAAGCTATAGTTACACTGACACACACTTTGATACATTGTTGGACAGTTCAGTGTGTTGTCTAAGCTATAGTTACACTGACAATGTAAAGTTGACACTTATTACTATCAGGGTGACAATGTGATGGAAACTAATGTCATTTCATAAGAAGAATAGCATGCAAATTAAAGTGTGTGTGTGTGAGTGAAACAAAAAATAATATGAAAGTTTAAAGTAGATGAATAATCCAAACAACAACAAACAGAGGTGCTTTTTTGGTGTCATAAAGTATATAATACAATCAAATAACTATTACAAAAATACCCCATAATATCTTCACAACAAAAGTCATGCATAGCAAACACAATTTTACGTTGAATTTTTTGTTTCTCACTACAGTGTTACTTTAAGGTCTACCAACAGCCATGTTTTATCCAGAATGTTGGACAGAGAATATCTTGTTTACACCATTCTCTCATCAGCAGAAGGAATGCGATCTTGCGTTGGGGATAACAGATTTTTTAAAGATTTTCATTAAACATTGATTTGAACAAAAAGGTCCCAGACAAATTTGGTTAAATTGGTCAAAGAGTCTGTTCTGGAAACAAATTATAGACTTAAGTTGTGAGTAATGTTGGGGTTTTTCTCCAAAGGATCATGCTAACCTTGACATTTGTTCAAAATGGCAAGGACTGTGTTTCACTTACATCAGCCGCAATTGTATTATCCCTCCTATTAAGTCCTCAAAGATATATAGGGTTAAAATGATGCAATCAAATTACACTCAACTGAAAATAAGCAGGCTGAGGTGTATGTGGCCCGTTCATCCAATCAGTCTGCCAATCACTGTAATGAAGTTTCTACCCAAGAAGTAGATTGTCTTAAGAAAACTTTAAATCTGCTAGCCGTAACTCTGAAAACAAGATTAAATAATTGGATTTATTCACACGTAACGGTGAAATACAATCGAAAATTGTTTACAAGTTACACACCAAATCAGGTGGAATTCTTTATCTTCCGCTATAACTTCCAAAATAAATCTAGTTTTGTAATTTCCATGAAGTTCTTTTTCCTATAATAAACATAATAAATAGTGGAGATTCTAGACAGTTAAATCCACTTATTTTTCAAATCGTCATTGAGTGATTATCACGGTATGCATTACAGGGTTCTAGTTTCTAGCACGATTTTCCCTGTGTTATCCTGAGAGAGAAATTGGTTGTCAGATTACAGTTCCTACTGTATTACCGCCTATTAAAATCTAAATTTTGCTGTAGGGGAGTTAATGTTCTCCTAGATACTGTAATAAATACCCCCAATGATGATTTTATTTGCTCATTCATCATCCAATTACCCTGTTTTTTGGTGTGTTTTTTTTGGAGAGTACTTCTGCACTGAGTTAAGAATTTAACGTGTGAGCAGGTGCACAAGACAAGACAACAAACATGCATTTAACGAGGAGATCCACTTACAACACCACAGACATTACCTGTCCAGCAGTCCATTGATAATGCTACAACAGTAAGGAAAATACCATTAAGTTAATGCAAAAAAGTCTGAACATGTTTAGCTCCCCTTGTGAAACTCTTCAATGAAAGTACAAAGTTTTCAACATTGCATGAATTCTAATTTAATATCAACAAGAGTAACTACATTTATATGGTGTTTTTTCCAATTGATCATATATCTTCATTGTTTTTGACATTAATATGGAAGTCATAAATAAGTAAAGGCAATAAATGAGGCAGTCCATTAACAATGGATTCATAATATTGATGAGTAATATAACGGTCTTCAGACCAGATTTATTTGAAATATTTTCTTTCTTGTTTTGAAAATTATTACAAGAATCTCAAGCATGCAAATAACTACTTTAAACACAACTTAGGATAGAAAATAGTTTGAATAATATTTCTTAAATTCTATTTCCACACCTGGATACTGCATGTGGCCCCCTGATGGATGCTTTAAGGGGATATGCTACCTCACACATTGTTCTTTAGATAAGTGTTAGTTATCTCCCCTTAATTTTTTAGAATTAAACATTTACCTAACAATTCACAAGTAACTGAACACTATAAAAGGCTGTCTTCAGACATATCTCTCAAGCAAGCCAGCAATGAATCAACACTTTTTTTTTTACATGTTTCTTTTGGAGAGGAGGTGTATTTCAGGTGTATTAGCATATGTCCTTAAGTTGTCAGTCATGTCAAGCCCCTGAGACATAGCAAACACAGGTATAAACACTCTTAGTACACTGAATAAAAGACCAGGACAGATCGCTCAGTACAGAATCTGGACATAATACTCAGTTCAAGATCCCAACAGATTACTCAGTACATTTTCCAAACCAGCCCGTGAAGCTGTATATCAATAGAAGCATGCTGTTACCTATATTTATACATGTCAATAAAAACAGGACAACCACTGTTACATGTACTGTAATGTAGGGGCAACAGCTTGTTGTAACCTCAGATGACCTTTGACCCCTCAATGACAAGTAGAGGTCTGTATTACTACCTCCCCCACAAACCCACACACGCATCAATATTGGATCGACAGCTGTGTAGGAATTACAGATAACAGTGCGAGATACTACACTGTGTCCAAAAATATATATTTGCGAGTACCTCTTAAAGTTTTTTACATATACAAAATGATGCTTGTATTCAGATCACGTGCGTACCATTCAAGTACGCTACTATAACTATCAAAAGCACTTTTCACAAAATTATTTTTTCTATTTTAACGCAACATTGAACAACAGGATGTGAAACATTTAAATTGGAATTAATTTTTAGCTGGTAACCACATATGTTTTTCAATCTAATACTTTTCCTAACTTTAGAATCATATTTCAAAGGAGAAAATGAGAATAAAGGACTCAACTGAACCCAGTGCTCTACAATTAACATCTACTTAAAATCATTGGTTGACAATTTACCAATAGCATACTCAATGAAAAATATTGATATTTTCCCATAAAATGAGGATACAATTTTAAAAACCACTGATAATTGCGTCTTATCATATCCTGCATCTAAAAGCACTTTTTGTCATAATTAAATTGAATTATTGTACATGAAGACTGACATGTATATCTAACTGGTACCCACATATTACTGTTTCCGACACTGTGGAGTCTGTGACATAGAAAATGACCCTTGGAGAAGAAGAATCATTGCGACACCATTGGTTACCAGTGACAGTAATTAGTATCTACCTCCGAGCCATTGGCCATGGTTTATAGATCTGTGCAGATCACGAACCATTTAGATCCGGACACCCGAGTAAACTCACACCTCACAGCCTGGACGATAAAACCTGTCATAGTGCTATCATGGAGACAACAAATTGCCCGGGTTATGACTCCTACATTGATTAACGCCATTTAATCTGTCCACTTAACTGTTATCACCCAAGTAAATTCATTATAACGCTTTTCCACTACTCCGAACAATTATAGATAACTGCCATTCACATTTACACATGTATAATACACTCGCTTAAATTGATAGTTATCATAGACAAACACATAAAGTTTGCTAAACATACACAATATGTTTACAATTATCATCATTTACTTATTTAAATACATATCTGACAATACGTCTGACAAATCACTTTCCTTTTCGTATGATACTGATATAACAGATGTAAAAGATTTCAATTTTAGAGACGCTCTACCAACTAAAAAAAAACATCTCTTCAGAACAAGTTAAATCAATATCAAATGCTGTCTTTAGATCTGTCATAGGTTGATTATTCTTAATATGACATCAATATGTCATTAAATCATATCTATTATCAAAATTCTCTTATCACAATATGATGCCATGTCTTTTTTCCTTAATTATGAAATTAACGGACGTCATTCTATTTATCTGTCACCCAGATTGCATTCATATTGGCTTTAACTGCAATTGGACAAACGTTCAATCTTTATATTTACATTTCCCCATATGACCTGTCTTTTATTAATTATTCGGATGAGCTTAATTTATATTTTCTGCTGTCGCAAAACCTCACTGGTACAAAAAAAATTGGAACAGCCACAGACGGCCATTATCGGACCGAAAACTTTACAAACAATGGTCGCCATTTAAAAAAGATACCAGGCAACAACTTTTAAATGCAGTTAAATGCTCTAATGTGCAGAACATTTTAATACAAAAGAATGAACTTCCCTTCCTATTCTGGATGTCTTCATTGTCTGCAAAACCTGTCAAAATGCGACTTGTATGAACCAAACGACAACAATAAGATGGCGGCTATCGTATCGGTGGGAGTGGTTGCTAACACTGACATCATGGAAAACATGGTCATGTGACCAGATAATGCAGACTGTAGTTACTGGACAGTAACTATAGACTGACTTTCAATAGAGTTAATGGAACTTGGGAAGGGCATATGTAAATATAATGTCATGTCATCATGTTTATTGCCTTCATTCTGACATCACAATGTCATGTCATCATGTCTATTGCCTTCATTCTGACATCACAATGTCATGTCATCATGTCTATTGCCTTCATTCTGACATCACAATGTCATGTCATCATGTCTATTGCCTTCATTCTGACATCACAATGTCATGTCATCATGTCTATTGCCTTCATTCTGACATCACAATGTCATGTCATCATGTCTATTGCCTTCATTCTGACATCACAATGTCATGTCATCATGTCTATTGCCTTCATTCTGACATCACAATGTCATGTCATCATGTCTATTGCCTTCATTCTGACATCACAATGTCATGTCATCATGTCTATTGCCTTCATTCTGACATCACAATGTCATGTCATCATGTCTATTGCCTTCATTCTGACATCACAATGTCATGTCATCATGTCTATTGCCTTCATTCTGACATCACAATGTCATGTCATCATGTCTATTGCCTTCATTCTGACATCACAATGTCATGTCATCATGTCTATTGCCTTCATTCTGACATCACAATGTCATGTCATCATGTCTATTGCCTTCATTCTGACATCACAATGTCATGTCATCATGTCTATTGCCTTCATTCTGACATCACAATGTCATGTCATCATGTCTATTGCCGTCATTCTGACATCACAATGTCATGTCATTATGTTTTTTTGCCTTAATTACTACATCACAATGGTTGTCATTGAATGGATACATGGTGACAGCTTAACAGCAGACGAAGATGAAAAGGGGCCAGACTCCAGGGAAACTTTTTGAAGAATCTTCTCAGTCATTTTACCTAATGTTTCTAAAAGTTCTATGAAAGTTCAATCACATTTCATATTTACTATAGAGATTTACAGTACCAGTATTTTCATTATAGCAGTATGGTTGTGAAAATAAACTTTGTAAAATTTTAAAACTCCTGACAGGACAGGACTCCTGACACCTTTTAGATAGTGCTGAATACTGCCATCATACTTTGTGAACTCCTGCCAATGACAACATATAGACAAAGAAAGAAAAATGACAGACCTTTTTTCCAACAGATCGGGATTTAAAATGGAGACTCACAACTGTGTATTGCTGAAAAGCAATTTGATCATGATTCTTGGAAAAATCAGGTTTTATTTTTTTCAAATACCAATAATTTTTGCGAAAAAATTAAACATCCACACCAATTTTGATTTGTTGGCACCGACCAGAGATTTAAAATATTCCGGGAAACATTACTTAGTTACCTTGACAATGCTTTGTGATTTCTTTCGGCAATGACGCAATTGTAAAATTCTACTTTATTATTGCCACATTATTTTAAAACAAAAAACCTATCTCCCCGGCATTCCAATGTCAATATTGACGAACCATTATTAGACGAACTGAGTACCCCCAGTAAAACATGATACTCTGCCATTTAAGTGTTGTAAAACGGTGTCATAAAACGATTCCGTAATGGTTTTGGTTGTGAATTGAATATCTGGTTAACCACTGCCAACAAATTCCCATTGACCTTTGACCTGATTACCATCTCTTTGCCAAGGTGTAATGATTCCGTCATAGGCCTGGACAACAAATGGATTTTCTCACAGACAACATCGGTAGACCAAATTTGTGCTTGCCTTCCCAAAAGAAATTACGCTGGTCAAACCCAGCACCCTAGACTGTAGCATCCATCATTTGTAAAAAAGAATTCTTTTTAATTAAAACAGAGTTCAACTCTTAGTTTATCTGCTAAAGGCTGACTGATTATGTAAACCGTCTTCCTATGTGAATCATCAGGGTCTTTCGATTGACCAACAGAAATGAAGGAGCAAGCCTTCTTAAAGGTACATCCTATACAACTTGTCCTTTCCAGGTTTATCCGAGTGTACTTTTTCAATATCTTAAGTAGACGTGAACGGAAATATTCATTCTGCAGAATCAGAAAATAGAAATTTATTGGTCTGCATGGCATATTGATATTTTGGGATATAAATGCAAGAAAACTTAAATTAGATATACCTGGAGGTGACTGATGGAAGCCGTCGTAAAATGCCGTCCGATTTCTCACATGTCCCACTATTAGCCAAC